TATTTTTTGCTGTAAATCTCCTTTTGTCTTCAATTCTAGCTGCAGAGAAGCTCCTTCCTGTATTCTTTCCCCTCCCTCTTTGTTTGCTTTCGGCAATCATGTTCAGTGACCTCAGACTTTTGCCTCTTTTGCTCTGCCCACCCACATGGTCTGGGAGCAGTTTCAGGAAAAACGGTGTGCTTTGGCCATGGCAACTTGCCCTTCTTTCACACGTTTGCAGGGAGGGGTGAAGAGGGAAGCTCCTCTCGGGACCAGTTATTTGGAGGACATGCCAAAGTTGTCTTTTTTTTTTTTTCTTTTTTCTTTTTCCTCTTATTTTTACTGTCTGGACAGATCTCTGAAGTGCAATGATGTCCTGTTAGTGTCTCTGCCTCTGAGCGGTTCCATCTAAGGTAGCGTGGACCAGTAGTTAATGACAGGCTGGGGAAGCAGAACAATGTCCTTGGGCTTGTCTGAGAATCTCTGGGGGACCAAATATATTTAATGGTAATAGACAGAATCTAGGGGAATTTAATAGGGTAGTGGGCAGAGGGTGGGGATGAGGGGAGGGAAATCCCTCTTTATTGACATGTCCAAGCCTCTCGCACCTGCTCTGTAACCAGGGGTTGGGATTAGTTATTGTACACCGTTGACTAAGAGTATATTAAAAACCCTTTAATCTGCACAGATATATGTAAGGCCTTTGTATCTCTTGTAATAAGTAATTAAGAAAAAAAAATAAAGGTCTTTATCACTGCCTTTCTCTTGGGACCATGGTTATATATAGATAGTCTTTACTTTTCTACACTGTACACTGGTTGCTGGATTTACCTGTATTCTTAACCATATTGTATATGCTGCGTTTAGACCTACTTACGAGCGAAGTTAAAATAATTCCATATGAAGCACCATACTGTCTGTCTGAAGCACTCTCAATGCAGGAGCCTCGTGTCACAATTACTGTCACAAAAAGAATTTTAGATTTTTTTGTTTTTATATAATAAAAGTGCCTTAGCATGTGCCTCAGCTGTGTGTCACCACAACAGTCAGTAATGGTTTACTGGTGCTCCACTGATGTTACCAATAAAGATTATCCATGTGCTGCAGTCCCTGTGTGTGTGTGTGTTGCCATTCCCTCCCTCAGTGCAGGTAAGGCCATAGAATCATAGAATGGGTTGGGTTGGAAAGGACCTTAAGATCATCTAGTTCCAACCCCCTGCCATGCAGCATCAGAGCATCAGCCTGTCCTGTCGGCAGCACTGAAATCAGGTGTTAAGGTACCCCTGGAGTGTCAGCAGGGCAGCACCAGGGGGTTTGGATGATGATAATGTACCTTGTTTGTGTGTTTTTAGGGAGTTACCTGCTCAAACATAAGGTTGTGAGCTGAGCTAGTTCTGTTCTGGGCCTGAAGGTGGTATTTCTGGCTAATGGGGACTAACAACTGAGCAAATGAACTCTGCTTTGCTTTTATTTCCGATCTCTGGAGTCACTGGAAGCTTGGGTCAGTGGAGGAGGTGACAGATGTGTCTAGAATTCAGCTCCGAGGCTGCCAACACAGGAGGGATGTGGACCTGTGACACCAGCACCCGGTAACTACCCGCATCCCTTTGGCTGGCAAATGGTGGGCAGGGAGGGCTCAGCTCACAGTTGGCTCTTCCTTGGGGGAGCACACATCTCCAGCTCCAAAAGGGTGAAATTTCTGTCTAAACAGATGTTGGGATGGGGAAAAGTCTTCTTGTTAAGAAACTTAAGTGTCAGTAGAAGTTATAACATAAAAGGTGGGTTGGGCTGCACAGAAGGAGAAGGCACAAGGGTTTGTGTGTAGTCACACGAGCAAGGCCTGGTGGTGTGTTACACAGGCTGCAGCTTGTAAGGGGCTAATGGGTCAGAGGATGGAGGTGCACCCATAGCACGTGGGTCACAGGCACTGCCATGCTGGTGGCTTCAGTCTACACCGTTGCAAACAGGACTGGAGTTACGTTCTTCTCGGGGTTTACTGGTTCAGATGCCTCAATCTTTTCCCATGGTGTTCTGCAGCAACACAAAGGGAATCTCTATGAACAGCCTTCTAGATGATGATAGAGCTGCTTTCTTGCCATAGGATCATCTTCAGGAACACCAGCTGGCCGGGCACTGCTGTGGTACAGGGCGGAACTGCCCTAACACCAGTGTGCTGGTGGCATGCTGACCCTCTGAAGCTCAGGCTGCTTTTTGTGTCCTTTGTGTTGTTGCTCATGAGCCAGGTTCTGCTCGGATGCTGCTCTGTCCTGTGCAAGGTGGAAAGAGGTTCATCTTTTTTTCCAGTAGCACAGTACTTCCCTTCAAGTTTGCACCTCTTTGTGCTTCCAGGAGGAAAGGCCAAAATTGGCTTCTCACACATTTTCCACTTTGCAGAGTGCAACCTTGAGCTAGCAAGTTCTCATGGCTCCAGGTCAGTCACCCTCCTGTGGCTCTCCAGAGCTGCTCAGTGCCACACGTGGGTTTTCTTGAGGTTCTGCGGATGGTCTGAGCAGGTGAGTGGTCAAAAATGCTGTAACAATAAGGAGTAGAACAGAAATTGGACTGGGACCTGATCCAAGGGCCTTACAAGAGACTTGTTCCTGGAAGTTGGTGCCGGAGTCCTGTTTGTGGCCCGTAGCATCCAACCTCAGGGCTGATCCTGGCAGGCATTGGAAGGGTCTGAATGAGAGGGCACACACTTATAGTTTCAGAAGATGGAAGGGATAGTGCCAAAGTTAACTCCAAACACTCCTGTCCCTGCCCCAGACCGATGTGCTGGCACAAAGGATCCATAAACCAGATCATTCAATATAATCAACTTGGCTAAAAACCACCAGTAATTGATGCAGGTTCCAGCGTGGCCCTTGTAGGTTGTTGTAGCGGCAGAACTGAGGGGCAGAGCCAACAGCCCTGTCAGCCTCGGGGGGATGAAGGTAAATCACTGGACCTGCAGCATCTGGTCCTGCTGCAAAGAACCTTCCTCCCCAGAGAGCTGCTTGTTCCTGCCACAGCGTCCCTCAGGGCAGAATGAAGGTGGTGGCCATTAGAGCCTGGGTGCAGCAGCACTGACCTGCCAGGGTTAGGATTTAGCCCTCTTCCATTTCCTGCCAAAGTTGTCTCAAGTACCACTTAGTGTAAACGGAGAATCACTTTGTCAAAGCTGAGGCTGCAGATTAAACGGCTGCAGAGCTGGGATGCTTCAGTGACAGGCATGGGAGGATGGGAGCTGTAGTGACAAACTGCACCTCTGGAGGGTGAGGGAGGCCTCAGAGCAGTGGTTTGAGTGGTCTGACGCTAAAATGCAGCTGCTGCAGCCCAACTGGAGATCAGCAAGCAACAGGTCCCGGGGCACTTAAAGCCTTTAGTCACTGCTCTGTGCCGTCTGGGAGCATCCATCCAAGTGGGTGCACAGCCTGGTTCATGGCGGTTGGTGTGAGAGGAAGCTCTGGGGCTGGTGAGGGTGCCGCGTCCTGGCCGGTGATGTGGCTCATCTGGAAACCCACTCCTGAGAACTGCTCAGCCTGTTCCAGAGAGGCTTCGTCGCAGCCCTACGTGCGAGATCCCAGCTGCTTTGCCTTCCCTGAAGAGCCTGGATCTGAACTTTGCTGGGGGCACGTCCTTCTGAACCGTGTCTCCAAGCACAGCTGGAAGATGGTGTTCCCAGTTCCAGGACAGATAGCTAATGCCAGTAGATAATTTTGCTCTCTCTATGGGCCTCATTTCCCCTTCCCCTGGCGCTTCACCAGTAGGAGCGAAAGCAGAAGGAAAAGGAGAAAAAAACCCCAACAAACCCAGTCCTAAATTTGTGACTCCCATCCTCGCTACCACTTTGAGCTGGCGTGGCTGAGCAAAACACACAGCTGAGCAGCAGTGAGGCAAGAGGAAAAGGAAATGCCTCTAGCGATGATGGTCTGGCATGTGAGAGGTGCTGGAGCTCCCTCTCTAGCCAGCTCACTCACCCTGGCTGGGGAGGACTGGCCTGTGGTGCTTCCAATTCAGGGGAAATGTGCAGAGAAAGCATTTAGGAGTTGATTAGGTAGAAGTACAGTCACTTCGGGCTGGGTACGACTTGGTTGTGCATGAGGAGCATTGGGGGCAGGCTGTAGAAGCGCGCGGGACAGGAGGGGTTTGCCCCAGAGGTTTCACTCCTGCTCAGCATCCCGGCCCTCAGGAAGGAGAAAGGAGGAAATGGAGAACTGACGGTGGTGGAGTGGCTGGCCTCGCAACGCCGTGTTGCTCATAATGTGGTTGCATGCTGCTAATTAATCTGCAGTGATACTGTGGGTGGCTTCAGCTACTACAGCCTTAATTGACTTTTGATGGAAATTGTGCAGAAGCTCACGGAAGGGGCTGTTATGGCAGAGTGCATCGCTCAGCACAAACGCATTGCTTCCCTGGGCTCGTTTTTACAGGAGGAGCCACCACTCAAATCCCTGACCTCGGGTAAGGCCAAGGCTGAAGTGGGGCTCTGTGGCCAGAAAAAGCTTCACTGGAGACAAAACGCTGGTGGAGGCACTGGTGGTGGTCAGCGGGATGCAGCACTGACCACTGGTGCCACAGGGCAGCCCACACCGGCTCTATGGGTGAAGTGATGCTTAAAGAAGGAAAAAAAGAGGGGAAAACCTCAACCCCTTGGAGATGTGATCAAGGAAACTTGCTTCCTGCTCTTCATTCTCACTGTATCCAGGGAAACATTTCCCTGCGTTGCCTTATAAAGAAACAGCATCACACCAGAGCTGAGCCCACCTTTCACTTTTCCTCCCCCAAACTCCTGGCACTGAGCACTCCCAGTGCAGCAACAAGGGAAGTATCCTTCCTCCTGGCCCAGGCTCTTCCCTCCCAGAGCCCTTCTCAATCCTGCGCTGTCCCTGGGGCTTGAGAGGACCCTTGGCAAAACTCCCTGTCCCTGCGGGTTGCTGGATGGCTGCAGCCTCCCCATGGCCAGCGGGCATGTGTCGAAAGCTTGTTTCATT